GACATGCCCCCTAATATGATTTTTTCTGGAAATGATTCTCTAATAGGCCTTAAAAGAATAAACTCATCACTGGTGCTTATGTGAGCTTCCTTGATATCAAACAAATGTTTTGCAGTTAGGAAATTTTATTATGAGAATGAAAATTCTAATGCAACAGTTATGTAAGTCTTGAAGATTTTGAAAGATATCGCACAAATTTTGCGAGCTAAAGCACCATTTATTTTTGTATAGGAAAAACATATGATACCAACATAACTATTTAGAACATTCATGGGAGTCAGGAACACTATCTCATTGGAGTATGCTTTCAAAATAACCTTGCTTCAATTAGGACTTTTGAAGGTTGTAACGTGGTCTGGTTCATGGTTTTAGAAAAAAAAGATTTAAGGCTCAAAATATTTGGTGCCCACCCCCTTCATGATGTTCTCCAATCCTATGTTCAGTTAATTCAACATGAGCATTCATCTCTCAAAAGGATTTTGTGACGGTCAAGGAAACGACGAGGCTTTCGGAGTAGAAACCACCCTCATGTCTTCGTGTTTGTAGTCACCAATTTGTTCTTTGCTGAGGACTTTTCTTTGCAGTCCTTTTCTTTGCAATTTTTATTTTCCCTAAATTTTGCCTGAACTAATTCTTTTGAATTGATAGTCCAGCGGGATGCCTCAATTTTGCCTAAGTCACACGTTTTCATGTTTCTTGACTTAGCAGGCTTTTCTTTTTTCTCGATTTTTGACTTTTTGAACAAAATGTGTGACATTAGCTTGTATTTGCTTGTTGAGAGGATTGTGATTGCCTCGTTTCTTGATGAATGAGGGATAACATTGTGGTTCCACATCTTCTGGCTTCATTATACATGAAAGATAGCCCTCGTAGTTTTTCTTCAAAAAACATCTTCCTTATGAATTTCGAACACTCAGTCAGATTAACTAAAAACTACCCTGCCCCAGGTTAAAATTCAAGGTTTTTTTGTATAGAAAAGAAACTTCTACTTCAAGGCTCAAAAGGGGTTAGCAAGGGATTATCTTCCTTATATCTCCGGTGTTTAGGGATTTGAAACAATGCTTGTACATCATCAGCAAGATTTTATCCAAAAGCAAACAACCAGAGATTTTGTGTTCTTTAGATCATCATCCTCCCTTCAATCTCTGCCTAGGCAAGAGAATGGGAAACAAGTTGGTATCATAATGCAAAAAGAAATTTAAAATTTGAAAACAAATATGAGTGAAACGAATGAATTTCTTCAAGACAAACATACCCATTGTATTAAGATAATCATTCAGATGCAAACAAGTTCTTACATGCAAACAATGTTTTGATAAACAAGAAAAATTACAAAAAGCATGAATAAGTTAATAATCTAGGAAGGATTTCCATCTGGACTTGAATTACCGAAAACATCCTTCAAAACTAAAAGTGACCATCAATCGTGTTTACTCTTCGGCACATGATTGATTTGAACTTCAAAACCAACGTTCTTGAATGACAAGATACCACTTCTGACCGACTTCTGAACCTCAATCTTCAAAGCAAAGCAACCCTCCAAGTCATGCCCAAGAGCACCTTGATGAAAGGTACAAGTCAAATCAGCTTTGTAGTACCAATGTATCTTCTCAGGAACCTTCGGTGGAGGTCGGGTCTGAACCAAATTCCTCTGCATCAGGATAGGGAACAACTCTGTATAGGTAATTGGAATTGGATCAAACTGGGTTTTCCTCTGATTAGGGACTTGCTGATTCTGTTGATGAATAGGAGAAAAATGATGATTTTGACGATGACTATTTCTTCCTATGGTTCTCTTCTTGGAAAATTTATTATCAAACTTCTTCACACCATTAGCTGAACTACCATCTTCATATGAACATCCCTTCCCAACATCTTCTTCTAGACGCACTCCCACATTCACCTTGTCAGGAAAGTCATTAGGTGCATTAACCATCACCTTCTCATGAGAGAATGATTTTAGAGTTTCAGTGAATACTTTTATCATCGCTTCCTCCCTCCTAGAAGGATTGACTTGGGCAGCAACCAGAATTTCGACCAAACCAGTTAAGTGCTCCATACTAGCTTTCAAAATAGTCATCTCTCTACGGAGTTCAGAAACCTCTTGCTTGATATTCTCCATTGTTTTCTTAGCGCGAGTGTTGTACTGGTGAGACCAAAGGAAAAATAAGACTCGGAAAAAGACCTTTGAAAGTGAAACAAAAAATGTAGAATGATGTATGATATGCAAAAGAGAGTTTTTATCTGACTTTCAAGGAACTCAAGATATTAAGTTGGAAACATCAAAGTATGAAGATAGAAGATGAATTTTGAACTCGATCAAAGCGTTGATCAAGTTATCATCAAGATCAATCATCCATTTTGGTGGATTAGGGTTTTCACCCTATCAACACCCAAGATCCATTGAGCTTGACGAAACTTGTGATGTTTACAAAGAAAGACCTCCAAATTCCTTGAAAGTCAAGTGAAAGGGGTTTTATGGATGCATGAATGCATGGCTATACAATAACCACAAGCAAGGTCACAAATAAAGTCGAAAGATTCAACGTCACGAGCATGGAGTCAAGGTAAGGAACACCCCCAGGGTATGTACTAACGGTTTAATCACACCTGTAGAACAAGGTTCTAAGAGTTCCCAGAGTCTACATTCCTCCTTCGGATATTACCAACGTCTTGATTACTCAATAATCAGCAATATTCTCAAGAGAAACTCATCCGAGCGTAGCATCGCGTAACAATTACTTCCGGATTACTCCGTTATAATCTTCGCGCTACACCTAAAAGGCCAAGATGGGTTAGGGTTCTACGGTTCCCAGCTTCTCTGGCTCCCAGGTCGAAAATAATAATGTCTTCTCGATTACTCGGTAAACAAATATTACGTTCAAAAGGGCCTTCCACTGAGTGGGGGATCTCATGCCTCCTTCTTCGGGATTACTCCCTCAAAGTTAACATGACTATACCGCCCGTCCTATTCCTAAGTGTAACTTAGTCCGGGTATAGGACTTGTCCTTTGTAAATATTATCAACACCCAAATAATCACAATATATACATATAATCAAACAATCAAATAATGATAAAACAGATAAAACAAATTAGGCTTAACCCACTTAAGGATGGACCAGCAAGAGGTCAATCTTTCCCCAGCAGAGTCGCCAATTCTGTAGCGGTGAAAATCGGAGATCAAGCTATTAATTAACTTGACTCGCAAAAGCAAGAGTTGCCACCGCGTTTTGTTGTTTCCAAGGGAAAAGAGAAAAGAGCGAAATAAAACCCTAAAATATGCAATGTAAAATAATACTTAAAAGTAATGAAAATACAATGCGTTTTGAAAAGAGATCGAGAGTTCGGGGGTTGGTTATACAATGGGAAGGTATTAGCACCCAATGCATCTGCGGTACTCCGCAGGAACCTTTTGATTATCTGTTTTTTGGTTAAAAATTGTTTGTTTGATTAAAATGGTTCGTTTGGCTAAAAATCGGTGTTGGAGAGATTTTGAAGAGACAGCGACCTAATGTCGAAGTTTTGACTTAAAAGGGTGTGAGTTTGAAAATGGAGTCTTTTGGGAAAATTATCTTGAGTTTAGCAAAATATTAAACGAACAAAAAAAATAAATGAAGGGGTTCGTGCAATCGGATGAGATGTGTTTGATGACGTGAAGTCAACTGAGTTGAAAAATTTCCCTTGGAGTTAAATCGATCGAGCAAAATAAAATAGACATTAAAATATAAGCAATCAAAATTCATAAGAAAATAAATATAACGAAACAGATTAATGACCTAAAGGCATCGAGAAATTAAAATGACAAAGATATTTGAATAAAATAAAAGGGAATGTAATTAATTATCTAAAGAAGTTATTTAAATTAAATTAAAAATTTAAGATTACTTACTAAAAAAATTCTAAACTAACTACAAATTCTAAGGTTGCAAAAATAGTTCTAAAATTACTAAATTAAATCTAAGCTAAATTAAACATTTTAAAATTAGTAACTTAAATCTAAACTAAATAAAAATTCCAAGGTTGCTAATCTAAAACAAAAAAGTTCCAAAGTTACTAAACTAAATCTAAATCAAATAAAATTCTAAAAGAATATTAAACTAATTCTAAACAACTAAAATTCTAAACTTATTAAACTAATTCTAAATCGAATAAAGTTCTAAAGTCCCTAAACTAAAACTAGCAACTAAAATTCTAAAGTTAACTTAAATAAAATCAAATAAAATTCTAAAGGTTACTAAATTAAAACTAAAACAAAATAAAATTCTAAAGTTTACTAAGTCAAAAACTAAAGCAAATAAAACTCTAAAATTTACTAAGTCAAATCTAAATGAAATAAAATCCTAAAGTTACTAAAATAAAACTAAAATAAAACTCTAAAGTTTACTAAGTCAAAACTAAAACAAATAAAACTCTAAAATTTACTAAGTCAAATCTAAATGAAATAAAATCCTAAAGTTACTAAAATAATACTACAACACATAAAATTTTAAAGTTATTAATTATGATTCTAAATATTTTAAAGTTATAAAATACATCTAAACTAATTAAAGAAATTCTAAATTAATACTAAACTGAATCTAAATATAAGATTTAATAATATTTTTTTAATATTTTTTTGAGCAAACCAGAGTGGTATCCCTTGGTACTATAGCAGGACCAATTTTTAATAAAAAAAAACTTATAGCAAAATAGAAGAGAGATGTGTGGTAACTAAATAATATAAAAATAAAGAAAAAAACATCAGGAAGGCTACATTGAATGAAAAATCACAAGACACTTTTACCTCTTCCTATTTGTTTATTCGTGCCCCTCTCTCTCTGCTTTTTATTCCTCTTTTCCTTGTAACACTCACCAACACAGAGAAAAACAACAACATCTTCTCTCTTCAATTTTGAGAGTCCCTTTAACAATCCAACTCCAGATTTCCTCCAATTTAACCTAACAACATGGAAAAGAAACAGAGACGGAGGTGCATACCCATGGGGATTTGAGGATAGAAATGGTAGGAGATGCGAAGGGACTTCGAGCATTGCGAGGGTCGTTGCGCAGATCTGGAATCGGAGTTGTGCAGTCATGGGGTTCAAAGAGGTTGAACATTGATTTCGTGGTTGTTGTTGGGCGTGATGCACCAATCTGCTGCGGTGGTGTTATTTGTTCAGAAGGGGCTTTTCCGATGCAGCTTGGGAGGTGGCTATTATTGCGTCTCTTCTTTCTTTTTCTGCACTAAGAACAAACAAAAAAATTGTACAAAGAGTATCATGAATTTCCACTTTGTCTGATGTTATGTTGCTGTTTTTTTGTGAATTCAAATGATATAGCATTTCCTTGGTGAAAGAGGGAGTGATAGATGGAGGTTGTAATGGAGTGGTGGCGCAGATCTGCGGAATGGGTGGTTATCAAGGGTATGGGACTTCCGGTGGCAACCAAAATGCATATGATGGTCGTTCTGATTCTAGTAGGTATATGCAGCCTCAAAGTGCTGCAGGTGGATTCCCAACTTATGGTTCTTCTGCTTATAGTGCTGCTGGGTAGGGGTATCGTTCGGCTAGCAATGGCCTTGGTTATGGTGCAGCATATGGAGGTTATGGCGGTGGGTACGGTGCAAGTGATAGTTCTTATGGGAATCCAGGTGTATATGATGCTGTTGGTGGGCGTACTGGGAGTGTTCCAAGTAGTAATGCTAGTGGTCAGAGTGGTAGTGAACTGCAAGGTAGTGGTGGAAGTGGCAACTATATGGGCAGCGGCTATGGAGATGCAAATGGAAATTCTGGTTATGGAAATGCAGCTTGGAGATCTGAACAGGCTCAAGCATCTGGTAATTATGGGACTCCTCAGGGAAATGGTGAGCAAGTTGGTGAAATGTTAGACAATGGAGTTTTGGTTGGTGAGGAAGTTGTGGTGGTGGTGGGTAAGAGTCACCGTAAAATGGAGGTGGTGGTGAGTGAGCAGGAAATGAGTTACTGTGTATAATTTTTTTGGTTTTTGTTGTGTTCCCCGTTTTTCTTTTTGCCTCTGTTTTTTATAGTGAATGTATCATAGAATTAGAGGGAAAATTGGAGCCAAATATCAGTTGAATTCTAGTTTATGTCAATTGCCTTATGCTTTCTTGATGCAGAAAAAATTTAACCATTCTGGGTAATGTTTGGAGCAGTTTATTCTGGACAACAAGCAAACTACAGTTTTGGGGCATTATTTTTGGACTGATGTGCAGCAGTAAAATTATCATTGGAAGGTCCATTTTCTACTTTGCATTTTTCTGATTTTTTCCATGTAACCATACATGTATTTTCCCTCTCTTTTCTTCCAAAATATTGGACTGATTTTGTTTTCATATATTTTGTTGTTTTGGTGGACAGGTTTGGATGAAAATTGAAGCAAGGTTTAGACTTGGTATTTGTTTGGACATTTTTTACAAGGAGAGGAATAGCATAATAATAATAATAACAATAATAATAACAAAAAATAAAAATAAAAATATTAAACTAAAAATTTCCAAAACATGAAAATTAAAGAGAAATTAAAATTAATTTTAATTTTAATAATAACTCAACTAAAAAGTTGAATTAAAATTAGAACCAAATCAAGATTAATATTGAAAGAAAGAAATGAAAATTATAATAACTAAAAGAATTAAAAGGAAAAGATATTAACTATATATTTTTTGTGATTAAAGTGAAATGCTAAAAATAAAATAATGCTAAGACATGTTTTTTTTTTGAGATTTTTTTTTACTAAATTAAATCTAGAAGACTATAATTTTGACTTAAGAATAAAAATCTAAATGAAACTTGAAGAGACTACTTTTTTTTGATATTTTGAATAATAATGTAAATAAAATTAAGATGACATGAACTAAATAATTTTTTAGGATTTTTTTATAGAATTAAAAATAAAAGAAGAGAAAGTGTAAAATTTATGGTCGGATAAAACATAGTCCAAAATTAAGAATCAAATTCCATTAAATTCGTGAAACAACTTCGAACGTTAATAGCTTTTTCGTGGCTTTTCAATGCATAATCATCTCTTGTCTTGTAAAGAAAAATTGTAGATGGTGTCAAGAAAAATCATATGCAAAAAATAACCCCTCAAAATATTGAAATTTGAAGAAGTTATGAATTTTTGAAATCTGACTCGGGAATTGGCAAAAATAGGTCGAATTGCTTGTGAACTCTTGCCATGCAATGATGCGGATGGAATGCGGGATCTTAGGTCAAAAATTAGGGTATGACAGCGACCCATGAGGAGTAATAATCAAACCACCAATTCCTTTCCCATAAGCATTCACAACTCCATCAAACACCATTCCCCAACGGGATTCAGGATTAGGACCTTCCTCAGATAACGGTTCATCACAATCTTTCGCTTTTAGAAATGTAACATCCTCATCAGGGAAATCATATTTAACAGAATGATAATCATCCATTGGTTGGTGAGCAAGATAATCTTCCAACACACTGCTTTTATAGCCTTCTGAGTACGGTATTCAATATCATATTCAGACAACAGCATCTTCAAATAGGCAATTCTTCCAGGAAGAGAAGGTTTTTCAAAAGTATACTTAATTGGATCCATTTTGGAAATCAACCAAGTAGTATGATTTAACATATATTACCACAATCGCTTTGCCGCCAAGGCCAGAGCACAACATGTCTTTTCCAGCATAGAATACCATGACTCATAATCAGTAAATTTCTTGCTGAGATAATAAATGGAATATTCCTTCTTCCCTATTTCATGTTGTTGTCCCAAAATACAGCCCATAGAATTATCTAACACTGTTAGATACATAATCAATGGTCTTCCTTCAATCGGAGGCAGCAATATATGAGGTTCAAACAAATACTCTTTAATAATTTCAAATGCACTTTGGCAGTCATCTGTCCACACACAACCTTGATCTTTCTTTAACTACTTAAAGATCGGCTCACACGTTGCAGTCATGTGGGAGATAAATCGGGAAATGTAATTCAAACGCCCAAGGAAAACTAAGACTATTTTTCTTAATTTATTTTTATTTTTTTAAATAGACTTTAGGATGTTTAATTTATTTATTTTTCTTAATAAAAACAAAAAATAAAAAAATAAGTTTTTTTACTTAGCATTTTCTAAGGTTTTTAGACGTTCATCATTATCTATCGCGCGTTTATCGTTTTCGCATTTTCTTAATATTGTAACTGATCATGGATGTAATAATTTAGGACTTAAATTTCTGCACTTTTAATTTCGCACTTAATTTTTGTCCATTATTATGTATCTACATCAAAGCCTTGTAATAGCGTAGGAACCTTTATTTCTCACTTTTTATATTTTTTTTATGCTTGTATATAATTGCTAGTAAGTAGGAGTGCATGAAAAGATTAATCAATCGTAGATTACTAACTTCAAGATAATATAATTGAAAAAACATACTTCTCACACTTGCACCCTTAGGGTATACCTCACTTGGTTGCCTCAAATGATCATGTCCCTCGAACGTAGGGATATCTTAGCAAAGACCCCCGATATGAAAGTCATCATAAAAGATCATGGTCCCTAAACGTCCCTCGAGTTGCCTTTCGGTAAATGATCTTGTCCCTCGATGTTGCCTATATGATGACAGTCCCTTCGAATGCTAAGATAACCTTACCTGTTGCCTTCAATGACCATAGCATCCCTTTCGATAGTCCCTTAACCTCTAACGATAGGGCTACCTACTCATTAATAGTATGATAGCACTGTCTAAAGGAAAGGAGGAAAAGAACATCCTTTTTCGAGTAGGTAGATAATTGTTAGGTACTTGATCAAGAACAATTTTTCCACACTTACACACTTTCAAAAATTACTTTCAAAAAATGCTTTATCACACTCTTGAGGACTGATACAAGATTTACCATAAAGCAAACAAAAGCTTTCAAAACACACAAACACACAAACAGTTTTCAAAATGAGCAAGTACCTAGGAGCCCGTGGAAAACCACGGATGGAAAGGGTGCTAACACCTTCCCTTTCCATAATCTACCCCCTTACTCAGAAAATCTCGAAAAAGGTATATTTCTGTTCTTTTCACCCTTTCCTTTGTTGGATAAAATAAAATTCGGTGGCGACTCTTGCTTACTGCGACATTTGCAAACAAAAAACGCAAAACCAGTATATAACTGTCGGTTCTACCACTGTATCACAAAACTAGCGACTCTGTTGGGGATATAATAAAAGTGGGGTTTACCTTAGGTTCTAGATCATTTCTAAATTGTTTTCTTGTTTGTTTTCTTTACTTTTAAGGAATTGTTTGGGTTATTATAGATCCTACACTCGGATCTAAGGAAACTTGTTAGGTAAGTAGCAATAGATTGTGGAAACTGTGTGGGGTATACCGACACGGTTGAAGTAATGGCTACGTTGATGCGACACTTTGGTTTGTATCGGTAGCCCTTTGTAGCGGTAGAAATGTTCAAGACTAAGCCATTGGATTGCCTAGATTTTATACAAATCAAAAGAAAAATTGCCACCTCGCTTTATTGTTTCCAAACGAATGGGAAAAGAGCGAATAAACCAAAAAAAGGGAGAAAGATTCAAAGTAAGGGGGTTGGTTATGAAAAGGGAAGGTATTAGTACCCTAAATATCTATGGTACTCCACAGGAACCTCTTTGAAAAATCTGTATATTTTGGCTATGAAAAATGTGTTGTATATAAGATGGTGGAGGTGAGAAAAGAAGTATATTTTATGATTTTTTTCACCCGCTGCGGTTGCGAACATTTAGTGCCTATGTACCACCTTTCGTGCAATAGGGGATCAGGGTACACGTAGTTCCTCTTTTAAAAATTTGAAACACAAGTGTGTTGGTTGATTTTAAGAGATAAGACATCATTGTCATTGTCCGTGTGGAAAACATACTTACTACCCACAATTATGAGAAAGGAGAATTTGCATCATCTCAAAGTGCAGGATATGGCTTGGATTTTAAAATCAACAATGCCTCACTCAACACCCAAGTGAAAAATATCTCACTTCACTACATATTGTAGAAGTATAGTTGTTTGCATCACTACAAGGATTGACAAGAGTCTAACCTTTTGAGAAAAGTTTAAAGATAAAAACCAAAGTGGCAAAATGGTCGGAAATGAGATTGATTGACTTTTAGTCTTCTCACAAAAATGCCAAAGTATTATTAAATTGATTGAAGTTTATTGATGAAAATGTTTTGTAAAGGCATGGACCTAAGTCCAAGTTTATTATGAAAGTAGCTTATGTTTCAAAACAAGAAGGGTTTAAAAAGGAGGGAGAATATTTTTGAAATTAAAGAAGATGGGAGGAGAAGAAGAGGCTATCCTAAAGCATAAGGTAAAAGCTAAGGATAAGATCCATCTAACCAACAAGAAGCCAAAGCTTGACATTATGAGCCAAGATAAAATTCCCATTCTTTTGATTAAAACCAAGCAAGCAAAGATACTAGACCTCTTCAAGTGTATCAAGTCTTCACAAAAATTGGGCAGAGTAACGGCTGTACACGGGTGAATTCCATATTACAAACAAAGAAGGTAATCACAAAAACCTGCACAAAAAAACAAACAAGCAACCCAATGTCTTGAGGTAAACCTCAAGAACTCCAGACAAAATAATCAGATAAGATCATAAGGTCTCCAAGATAGGCCAAGGTTTCTAATCCTAAGTCCAAGAAATAGTCTCATGCTCCATAATGCCAAGGATAGTAACCAAATAGTCCAAGTACCATTAAGAGTTTTTTAAGGTTTATGTTGATTATTAAGTATCTTAAGAAAAGAAAAGAAAATCTCCATTGAGCAAAGTAAAAATGACGAGAAAATAAATGCTCAAATGAGCAAACATGAAAATGGCATGAAATGAAAATGCTAAAAAAAAAATAGTACATAAAGCACAAAAAAGAATAAAAGCATAAGATAAACAAGTCAATAATTAGTGATTAGTTGGATGACCATCTTGAAACTTGCATTTGGAACTCATTAGAGGATTGGT